ACAGAACTCTGATCCATGAAGCTGCACCCTTGTGAAGTCTGGCATATCATTTTGCTTCTAAAATCTGAAGCAACTGGCTGAGCCGTGTTTGAAGCAGTTAAAATCCTCAATAAACGCACACATCACAATAACTTATATCAATAATCTGTATTAATGCACCAGGTTTTAAATTGTTACACACAAGGCATTATTGTGTCCATAGAATACACTAATTTTTGCCTGTTATGTTGCTTAGCAACCAAAGCTTACTGTTAAGAGCATGGTGGAAGAATTGTTTATGTTGTATGATTTTATCACAGGTAATAATTCTTCAGGCATTCCACTTTGCGTCCTTTCGAAGAACATGCTTACCCTGAACGCCTTAACAGCAAAGACAAACAACCTCCTCATCAGCAGCGTTTTCAACTTTATTTCAGCATTATTACTGATAATAATAAATCAAATCTAGATAGAAAGCTAGGGTTAGCCTATATGACTCGTAAAAATGTTGTTATGGTTACAGTGTGTGAATCATATGAGCCACATTCTTTGGCAAATGTGTAGACATACTTCACTAAAAGTGCACTGTTATATTCACAGAAATGACTGCTTCCCTTTTACAGTCAACAATATGTGTTTGCAGAGTACACTTTTTGTCCGTTTTTAGTCATTGGAGTCAATAGAATTACATTTCTTCAAAGATTTTGAGAACAAGGATGACTTTTTATTTAGTTATTTTATTCTCATCATGTAAAAACACTGTTGATGAATATCTTTAGGAAGAATATGGTGTTCATCTCTAGAGTACAGTTCCAGAGATTTGTGGAATCTATGCCAATGTGTATTGATGTTGTTGTGGATTGCTTTATTTTGTAGTGGCCCAATACTGTACCTTATAAGACTTAATGTTGGTTTTTCATTTCATTTGTTTTCTGTCTGTACAGAGAAAAGTTGAAAATTTGATACCAGCCACTCAGTATTTACAGACTTGCCAGCTTATTTGTTACTAGATTGATGTATACCTAAGGAATTGGTAACCCTTGGATATGTAGAGACATAGTTACTGTGTATACACATAGAAATTAAAAAACTGGCAATTCAACTGGTGTATATAATATTTATGATGAAATGAGAAGATGATTTGGGGTGGTGCCGGTGGTTAGAAGCCGTAGGAAGCCGAGCACTGTTAGGTGTCCTTGAGCAAAGTCTCATGACAAAAACCCTAAGGGATTTCCAGCAAAAGCCAAATGTCTAAATGACAAAAATCTGTCACTCCAATCCAGCATCAAACAGCGACCGATTTTACTATAACCTTCACTTTCAAAAGTTCAAGTTCTTCCTCTTTCTGCAAGCCACAGCATTTTTCCAGTGACTTGAAACTACAAAACAACACCGGAGTCAAACTGCAGATGACACACAGCTTACAAAGCAAGGCGAGGAGAGCATGGAAGGTGACCTTGTACACTTTTTCTCCACTAAACAACAGAAATAGTAGTGAGAAAGACATGTTTATAAAGTCAGGCAATGTAGAGGGTATGGGACATTCAGGGATAGGCACCATTATTCAGGTTGGAGCTGAGGGTTAAGTGTTCCAGGGTGAAATTGGAGGTTCAGTGGAGGCAGGCAGCAATGTGGACTTTGAAGGTTGCACATGAGGGATGAGGGAACATCTTACTCTGAAAGAAGCGAGAGGTATCTCGTTCCTACACACACACACAAACACACACACACATCTGTGTTCAAAGGCTGTCATCAAAGCTAGGCAGAAATGTCAGGCCTATAGGCAGCACCACAGCCTCTGAATGTCACTAGTCAGAGAGAGAGAGCGAGAGAGAGAGAGACAGAGAGAGAGAGAGAGAGAAATTATTTTCTATGTATAGAGAAAAAAATATGTTTGGTGTTTGTGACATATGCTCATTTATACCACAGCACTGTTAAATCCTCAATTCTGATTGGTCAGAAGGTATTGATTAATTTCCTATAACAGCGGCTCTGACACTAGTGACAGCTGCAAGGCACATCACAGGTTTATATTAGTAAGGCTGTAACTTTTTCCGATACAAGAAAGCCTTCAGGACGTGAAAATCTTCGGAAAATATGCAAGTGGACTTTTATCCAAAATTAATACAACATACAATATAAGTGATATTTATCATTTCGGAATACATTATATATAATAAATGTTTATCTAAATCTCCAGTTTGCACAAAATTTGCTTCACATTTTTAAAGTCTGTTGGTACTGTAAGTGTATTATTATCACAATGGCATACAGTTGTTGTTTTTTAAGTTTTTTTTCTTTTTTAAGTTAGTGACAAATGGTTTAATCGTGTATGCTATCGGTTAAAAATATCAGTTGATATTTATTTCATAAGTAATGAGAAAAGAGCAATCCTGGTAGTATAAGAGTCATGATAAATGCATTTCTGAGGATGAACTCAATTTCACTTAGGTCTCAGGAGTTTATTTAAAAATGTATTCAATAAAATTACATTTATTTATTTTTTATTAATTTCATTGTTTATTTATTTTATTATGTATTTAGTTATTTTTAAATACAGGGGGGCATGGTGGCTTAGTGGTTAGCACTCTGGCGTTGGGGGTTCGAATCCCGCATCTGCCCTGTGTGCATGGAGTTTGCATGTTCTCCCAGTGCTTTGGGGATTTCCTCCGGGTACTCCGGGTTTCTCCCCCCTGTACAAAGACGTGCATTGTAGGCTGATACTGTGTGAGTGTGTGCATAATTGTGCCCTGTGATGGGTTGGCACCCCATCCAGGGTGTCCCCTGCGTCGTGCTTCGAGTCCCCTGGGATAGGCTCCAGGCTCCCCTGTGACGCTGTGTAGGATAAGCAGTACAGAAAATGGATGGATGGATTTTTAAATACCCCTGTATCATTCCCTGACAGCAGCAAAAAGACACATTATCAAAAAAAGACATCACTTAGCATCCAATAAAAAATTAAGATACACCTCAAACCATGTTAATTTACATTTTCATCTTGCTGTTTGACATCAATCGTCTCCCAAAATGTCATCATCTAAAAATCATGATCAGTTTAGGAACATATGTCCTGTCCTCCTGAGAACAGGCCTTAGAGGCTCCTTTTTCAAACCAACAATAGACATTTCTTTAAAACATGCAAATACACGCTGATCACTCCGAAGTAATAATCAAGAATTACACACAAGTATGCAAAATTGTTTCTGTCATGTTCATGGCATTTGTGCAAATGAGGTTGTAAACCTGAATAACTGAATAAAAGAAGGATAAATACGTTTCAGCATAATTGTTTACTGATTTCAGGATTGCCGGAGTGATGACATTGAACAAGGAGACGCACCTGTGTGAGGAGATTGACAGAAGATAAGTCCAACAAACAGCATGCTATCACGAGGAAACAAGGAGAGAAAGAAACGAGGGCAAACAAAGAAGGAAGCTATCAGAAAGAACACATGCAAATTGCAAAACAGAGACACGCACATGAGCACACACACACACACACACATACACACACATCGTTCAGAGCAGGTCTTAAAGGATCCTTCAGATTACAGGAGGGTAATTGAAATTGCGAGCGACGCAGGAGGTTGGTGCGCGGCATGACGCTTCAGCTTCAACTCTGGGGAAATTCAGCACATGGATTTGGAGAGACGCTGACTTCAGAGACATGTTAAGCCCTGTGTTCTGTTCACTACTTGTTTCACTGACAATCACTTTGTTACTGCACTTAGTATCTATACTTTACCTGAGTTTTTCTTTAAAAGTTAATACTTTTAAATTTTTCTTTCTACATTTCAAAAAGAAAAACCTCATATCACGATACTGAGAGACATTTCTACGATATGTTGCATTTAAAAAAAAAAACATGAAAACTGAGTTTGATTATATTCTTATTTAATGTCTACTAAAACTGAAAAAAATGGTGAAAGAATAGGAAATTCTAATCATTCTAATAAATTCTGATAATAAATAAAAAAACACGTATTAATCAGTTTTAAAGATTCTGTGCAAAAGTTCAGTATCAAATCCGCTGCCTCGAATCAGAGCTTGAAATTGTTCATTTTATAAAGTGAGGAAAAAGATATCACAATACCCACGATATCTCAGAAAAGTGTATTATGCCACAATTTATCACAATATCAATATTATATCGTCAGCCCTATTCGTAATGTAATAAGGTGACTTGGTATTTATCATGGCAGTTTGTATCGTGACAGCTAGCGATTAGCATTTAGCTAGTTTGTATGGTTAATGTCATGCTAGCTAACATTTGAGAGATTATAGCACCAACCATCAAATTAGAATTTCAGTATATTTCAGTATAAACATATTTAATGGATTTCAGGGTGGACTTTTCCTTTACTAGAAAACCCATCCCTCCATCCTGGAGCCCACAAGCTCCTGCTCTCTCTTTATTGATTAACTGTTGACTCTGATCAACCTGTCACATTTACCTAGAGTAAAAACTACCATATTTTACCCTTTCTGCTGTGTGTAACCTGGATTATCTGACTCATGATTCACACTGGTGGCCAGAAGATGATGGGGTTCCTCTTGCTTACCTGCTGAGTCTTGGTTTCTGTTGAGGTTTCTTTTTCTCATCACTGTTGCACTTGTTGCACTTTCTCAGTGGACATTAAGGCTGGTTGTATACTCTAAAAGACAGAAGAAATACATAAATCAACATGAAGATGTATAATTAAAAAGAACTCTAGGATATTCTGTACCGTAAGATTGGCTTACAATAGGTGAGGGTACAGTACAGGCAGTTGAACCACTACTCTGTATTACTCTGAAGCTCTGTATTTTTAATATGTCTTCGTTATAAAATATTGCATGATGTTACTTTTAAATGTTGCAGTGCATTTTGCAGTCGCAGTCCTGCACCACCGAGGTGCCATTTGTTGTTGTTCTTTCGGCTGCTCCCAATAGGGGTCGCCACAGCGGATCACTGGTCTGCATATTTGATTTGGCACAATTTTTATGTGCACTGTCTTGTGCAACCCCAATGGCTTGGGTTGGTTCCGTGGCCGGGAATCGAACCCGGGCTGCAGCGATGAGAGAACCAAGGCCTAACCACTAATCTAAGAAAATATGTCTAACCATGTCAGGCAACATTCTTTTGCATTTTGCATTCTTTTCAACATTCAGAAATGGTTTCTTTTCTGACAGGCTGCATTTTGTTATTAAATAAGAGCACAAATACAATCATTGGCAAATACACAATGACTAATGCATCCATGATAATGGCGTGAGGACATTAAGGACATTCTAATGCTACACTTAAAGTATTTATTTTTAAATTAATATATACTTTCAGTCTGTAATTTGGATAGCATGGTTGTACTTTCAAAGCAACTTCATCAGTCCATATCATAATATCACTGAAAACAAAGAAAAACAAAAAGAATCTTTTCTTTTTGTTGCAATGTCTATGGACAAGACAAGTCTACAGATAATAACAGACGCTATAATTGTGTCTTAGCCATAAAAATGAACAAGCATAGAACAAAGTGAAAATACAATACATTACATTTGTAATTTTAAATAGATATAGGACAAGTTTCATTTTCACCTGGAAGGATTTTGTAACTTTATCTCCTGAGTGACATGACCGAAGCGGAATTTATTTAAAGCACAGGTGTAAGAGAAGCAGTAAGGAGACACTGGTCTAACACACACACACACACACACACACACACACACACACCTTCATCCGTTGAAGTCCATCAGGCCTGAATGGTTCATGCTCAGGTGCAGGTCTGTAGGTTATTTCTACAGACAACTGACAAAAGATATGAGAGTGGGCATGGCTGTCTCTGATACCACACACTCTCTTTACTCCACACTCCATTTTCTTCCTTCAGGGGTGAGACATTTCAGGTGAGGGACAGTTTGTGCTCCAAAGCTGTAAAATTCATTACAGTGCTCCTGATATAATACAGTCGATAATACACCTGTTTTAAATGATTACTCTTAAACTATCTATATGATAAGCTCTCTGTATCCTGGACATCCTGTGTAATATGGGGTTAAATTGGGATTTCATGGCTGCCAACAATGTGGAAACACTACCTTTCAATTTGTGTTATTATGTTGAACTTTCGCTGAAGGTTGTGTTTGATCATCGGCCTGGCATCTACTAAACAAATGAACACACTTCATGCATTATCACATACAGTCAGGTCCATAAATATTGGGACAGTGACACAGTTTTGGTAATTTTGCCTCTGTACACCACCACAGTGGATTTGAAATGAAGCAGTCAAGATGTGACTGAAGCGTAGACTTTCAGCTTTAATTCAAGGGGTTTAACAAAAATATTGCATTAACCGTTTAGGAATTACAGCCATTTTTTACAGAGTT